AGAGTGTAAGGTTTAGGCAGACATGAAGCATTTAGGTAGCAGAACTATAAGTGGATCAAATAAGGAAGTGGAGCAAAAGAGAAAGTAGACCCAGCACAACAGTAAACCATACGTAATATCTTATATATCAACTCTCTAGAGTACATAGACTAAGTGCATATGCAAGAGTTTTCTTTAGAACCTAATAGTTATAGAGATATTCTAGTAGAGAGTTTTCTCTTACTAAATCCTCTAGTAAATCTACTATATTTATAGTATAAGAGAGGTAGCTATTTTATTACAATTCTGAATAGTACAAGTTAGAGCTGTCTTCTATCTTATCTTATATTATCAATTATAGAATATATAGATTATTTTTTGATTTATTATAATTTAGTAAAGTAGTACGTTTTTGGTGTGTTTTCGGCCAAAATCCGGGGCTGCGTACAGAATTCTGACAACCCCTGGTGTGTCTACTGCTGTCTGATGTTGGGAAAGTCAAAGCCAAGATTTTGCTGTGTGGTTGATATGATTTATGAATTCAGATTGTTTGGACGAGCCTGTGATATGATATTTATCTATACTGGTTGATATTTTGAGTCTTATTCTTGTAGGAGGTATCGGTTCACGAAGTTCTCAATATGTCGTGGTCTCTCGCTTAATCGACGATAAGCAGGGGGCGAATTGCAGGGCCCACTTCATGTTTACGACAAATTCCCAAAGACGAGTTAATGCTCCGATGAACAAGCGACTACTGCTACTCCAGACATGGTATCACTACTCCGTGGCAGAGAGTACGGGGGAATCCCTCGAAAGGATATAAACAAAAATACCGTACCCTTTTGACGAGAGTCTGATGGTCGTTGTCACGAAGGTCTTATTTTGATGGCTCCAAGCGGAGATCATCACAGATTATCCAGACAATTGACATGTGAGTTTCGTGTGTCAGTGAATCGAGGGATTTCAAGGGAATTCTTGGGGAGTACTCGGAACGAGTACCATTTCGAAATAGTGTGCGAATGGACTTAGAGAATAAAGGTAGACAAATGACATTACATCAGTCGATGTTTGGAGATTAAGTCTGATTATATTTCATTATATCGACGCTGATATTGACCAGTCATTTGGGTAATTCCAAGTGCATTGAAGCATACATACAGCCTTGAGCGTACAGACAGCACCCAACTTTTGCTCTCCAGGAGTAAAGCAACAACCATAGAACTTTTGACACAAAGCTTAGCGATGAAATCCCTATTCCATAGATACTACAACAAAGAAAAAATACACCGAGAACCTCCAACCCCTCTACTATACACATCAAAAATATCATTTCAATGTAAACAAATGATCGGAGGTCAAGGGGCAAGTGAGCCAATCACATCGTTGGATCCTCTCAATTGTGATGATTTCCTCCTTGTCGGTAGCTTGTAGCCACCGGAGAAGTTGAAAGGGAGGAGGCCGTAGGTCTGAATCGGTACGGGGCGTTAGGGTATTAGCGATGGTGTATGAGGTGTCGCATATTTCGAGGTCGATGGAAGGAATAGACGACGAGGCAAATTGGCAAGACGTTACGCAGAGATGGCTTGCACAAGCTTCAGACCCATGGTGAGGGTTGTCGTCCTGTCTTTGTGGGTCATCGAACGCTGGCAGATTGAGAGATGAAGATGTGGGAGTCATGACGCTGATTGATAAAGAGTCGTCGTATTCTGATTCGAGGTTCATATCGTATGTCGACTTGGAGGTCTTGTGCTTTGGGGAAGAGATCCTTCCACCTGCAGGGCAAGTACTTCCTGAATTTGTATTAGAGGAAGGGGCTTTTGCCGACAAAACCTCATTATTCGACTCGACTTCTGCAGGCTCGCTGATGGGTGTTGGAGAACGTGAGGGCAGCATGGTAGCTGGAGAGAATTTGTTAGAGATAGCAGAGCTACTCGGATTAGCGAACCTTCCGTGCAAGAAATAGTTCACCTTTCTCACTGCATGGGAGGAGACTTACAGGTTCAGAGGAGGAACTGGACATCCAGACTTGAGGTTTCCGTCATGATAAGAGATCGGGTATTATCGAGTGGATCTGACGAGATGTATTGAAGAGCAAACAACAAATAGGGAAGTACTCGCTTAAGTTTCTCCTCAACAATTTGAAGGGGGTCTTCATATTTATATGCTCTGTACAGTTCCCTCAAATGCTAGGAGACATTTCGATCGAGCGATGAATCGGACGAATTCAACCACGGCGAATGGGAGGCGAAAGGGAGGCGCAGGTAAGGCAACTTGTTGATAGTTTGCAAAATTGCGAACCACAAAACTCGTCGAACAGCACCCCCCTTCCGCACTCAATTGATGATCTTGTGAGGACTTGCTCCTTCCCTTCATGCGCCAATGGAAACCTGAACACTGAGAGTTTAGTAATTAAGTCGTTCTTCGTCTGGACCAATTAAGCGCTCCCAACATGCACCAAGCCGTACTGCAGTACACAATGGGCCGGTTGGGATTGGGAACATTGCAAGGCGAACGCAGAGTTTGTCCTGCATAGACGAAACGGCTTGACTGGAGTGCCGGCTCCAAATTGCGCCTCGTAGTACCCAAGGAGGCGGCGCACCTGACTGAGAGGAGACTCGGAAGTAGCCTTACATCATTAACAGCCGTATGTCGAGCTGCCATTCTAGTCAAAAAAACACTCGAAATTTGTTTTCGGAACGTTGAAAAGCTAGCTTATGAGGCATAACAAGTTGAAGAAACAGTAGCCCAAAATTTCTTCTGCTTCTCAAAAGCTACCAAGTTTTGGCTACACACAAGACACATCCCTCCTCTGAAAAGTGCCGCTCCTCACATTTGCAGTTCGTAATTCTGCGCAGCACAGATGCAGATTTTCCAGTATACTGTATAGCATGCCATGGAGCACGTTCCCGCAACGGCCCGTGAGGCGTATAAAATCCACGTAGCACTCAAATGGGGTCTGGTACAGGCCCCAGATGATAAAACATTGCTGACGAAAATATTCTGTCAGGTATTCAGAGTTGGCCTGAATTTCTGGGAGATACCCGAGATATGGGACAAGCTCTGGTACGTTGGCCGCACTCCTCTTGCTGCAAGATTATGTAGGTAGGTGTAGAGAAAGTTACCAACAATACAGACGAATAATTGCTGGGAATTTGAGGTGGTGTTATCTCAAATGGGGTTTCCCGATTGCATATATCTTGGCTTGGTTGCCTTAAATCCCTAGCATGCTGTGAGTGGTTACTGCTAGCTTGACCTGGAGTTACCATAATTAAGGTGTTGGAGTGATAATTGCAATTGGCGATAGCATCAAAAACCAGGGGCGCAGTAGTGGCCCGATGACCTATTGTTCGTGAACGCAGCATTTCAATATATTTTGCAATGCGCCCGAGAGGTATGCTTTTCTGACTGACTTACTGCGTGATCGGCAGCACGTCTGGACTTCACTTGTACGACTGAACGTGGAACTTGCCTTGCGCTGTCTGTCAAGTCCACATGCATGCGTCGTACCGTGCAAAGAGATGATTTACCCAACCCAGCTTTCCAACTGGTTCCTCAACCCCTGGTGCCCTGCTGTAGTCCTCGAAACTCGACATTATTGGATTCATGCTTCAGAATCGAGCCGCCGCCTCCGGATGGGTGTCCTTTTCCGCGATGTACGGAGATGTCGATGGTGACACTATTGGATCCAAGTTCTGGAGTGACCGTGCCCTCTCTCGTCATTTCGACCGTCAACGTGCAACTGTACAGCTGGAGGCGATTTGCATGCGTGGATCTTGCATGGCATACGTCGTTTGGCGAGGTTGGTCATGGTGTTGTAGAAGTGGATGTGGAGATGTGGATTCCCAAACCTAATTGTACATTGAAGAGGATGAGAAGGGTGCCATTAAAAATCCAAAGCTTTCCCCGTGATCTTCATAGACAATTTCATTAAACCCTCACGTCAGCTATCAGCCAAATCGTATGTTCACCGTGCGTTCAAACCCCTTAATTAGTCCTATGGACAAGTTTGTTTACCAGTCCTACAGATAAATCTGAATCTTGTAGTATCACGTGCGATATATCACGTTACCCCTTTTCGTTTTACGCAGAATTCATTCACATCCTTGCTGTCCTCTCCTCCGGGAAAATGGATAAACGGTAAAATGAAACCCCGTCTGCCTCACCTACCAGTATTTAATTGTATCCTCTTAGCCTTGCGTCTGTAAATCCGTTGTATTCAAGACCATAGGAATTATTGTGTGGCATTTCTGCAATTCTGGATATTTGTGTATTTCAGATTCTGCGATGCGGCTGTCTTCCTCATATCTCAGTCAACGAGTTACGTCATATGCCGATATGAACTTTAGGGCCCCGTTACATTAATTTCGAGCGGATTGCGGGGAGAACCTTGAATTTTGAAATAACCCCTCAGTTGTTTTGCCGTTACGCGACTTCTTATACCAAGTATATATCGGCAACGTCGGACCTCCTATAATTTTCACCCACGTAACTTCTGCTACTTTCTATTCCCTCTAATTGTTTCTAATTGTGTTATTTCACGATGATATTACCACGGGCATATGTTCTGGTCACTAGTCTTTTGGCTCTACTTGAACCAGTTATTTCAATCCCATTGACGAACGAAAATTATGCACCTGTGGTAGATCTGGGGTATTCACAATATCGAGGTGTATCTTTAAGCTCAGGGGTTGACCAATACCTGGGGATACGCTTCGCTGCACCACCTCTCGGTGATCTGAGATTCAGAGCTCCAAGCCCACCTCCACCAGTTTCTGGGGTTCAAAATGCTACAGAGGTTGGCCTTGTCTGCGTATTTCAGTTTATGGTTTTAATGGGATTTAGTTTCAACCTATATGCTACGCTTTGGGGGCTCCGCCCGGCGGGGGTAGTACGAGTGAGTCAGAAGACTGTTTGTTTCTAAATGTGTGGAGTCCGACATCGGCTACTGCAGAGTCGAAATTGCCAGTCTGGGTGTTTATTCAGGGAGGCGGATATACTCAAAATTCGAATTTTAACTACAATGGATCCACTGTCGTAGAGAAGTCGGGGCAGAATATTGTGTTTGTGAACTTCAACTACAGGGTTGGAGCTTTTGGTTTTCTGGCGAGTGAGAAAGTCAGGCAGGACGGAGATCTAAACGTGGGTTTACTTGATCAGAGAAGTGTCCTAGAATGGGTACAGTCACATATCGAACAGGTAATTACTATTTTGCTACAATCGAATGTCAGGTGCTAAAATTGATTCCAATTAGTTTGGGGGGGATCCAAACCATGTGGTTATACACGGTACTTCAGCTGGAGCTGGTTCTGTCGCGCTTCATCTTTCTGCATTGTAAGTTTGACATTCCCAAATTGGAGGGCTTTTTCTCAACCTTGCTAGTGGCGGCCGCGATGATGGCTTGATTGCAGGAGCCATTGGCCAATCTATCTTCTTTCCAACACAACCTCAGGTTGCAGATCTTGAATGGCAGTTTGAAAGATATGCTACGAGTGTTGGATGCGCTGAGACAATCGATACCGTGTCATGCCTCAGATCACAAGATTCTTCTACCCTCCAAATGGCAAATATTGCCGGTCCATACCCTGGGAAAAGCGGAGCACCATTATTCTACTACACCCCTACAATCGATGGCAGTTTCATCCAAGATTATCCCTATCGATTGTTTGAACAAGGGAAATTCATCAAGGTTCCAACTATGATAGGAGGTATGCATCCTTCTTTCAAAATTGGGACAAGCTAATTTTCGTCCGAAACAAGGTGATACAGACGAAGGATCCTACTTCGGCGCAAATGCTTCTTCTCCTGCTGAAGTGGCTGCATTTATGGAAAACAATTATCCAAGATTGACATCTTCAGACACGGATGCCATCAATGCAGTATATCCTGTGATGGCACCACTACCCCAGCACAATGCTTATTTCCCATCAGCATCTGCAGCCTATGGAGAAGCCACGTTCACATGCCCAGGTAACTACATCTCAAATTTGTCTGCAATGAACGACCAAACAAAAATATGGAATTACCGTTATGATGTATTATCAGTTGAAAACGTCGAGGCTGGCCTTGGGGTTCCTCATACCTTCGAGACACCTGCAGTATTTGGCCTTGGAAACACCAGGGACGACATCGGATCCAGTAGTTACGGCACCTACAACGCAGACGTCATCCCGATAATGATGAACTATTTCATAAGCTTCATCAGGGACTTGAATCCCAACACGTACAAATACTCAGCAGCACCAGTTTGGGAAGATTTTGGAGATCCAACATTAGAAGGACGTCGACTGCTTTTTCAGACTAATTTAACCCAGATGGAAGAGATACCAAAGGAACAGACTCTCAGGTGCGAATTTTGGAAAGAATTGGCAATCACAATGCAACAGTAATAGGAAATAATGAACGTGATTATCAGGTTTCCGAGTTGCTAGGTAATGAACGAGAATCAAAAGTCGACATCCTTCAGGGAGTTCGCTAGCCACATTCTCCTTCAACATCTCAACGCTTCTGTGTATCTTCCCACGCTGACTTCTCAAGTCTCTCAGCAAATGTGAGGTTGTCGTGTGAGACTTCGTATGCCCATCTTCCAAGCTGAATGCCTTCACTAGATTGTTGTTGAGCCGTGGCATCATTGTTGTCATTGGTGTTGTCTGGTGCAGCTTTTTTTCTGGAAGATGATTTACTGCAATTCAACTCGGTTATTTTCCCTTGCTCTATACAAGACGATGGGGTCTTACTCTTTTTTGCTGCCGCTGGCATGGCCTTTCTTATGGCTGTGGTGGCTCGGCATGGTTGCTGCGAAGGCTGTATCGAAAAGGTGGTGGAGGATGAAACGTCTTCTACCGATGCTCGATGACAGGAATGGAGCCTTTGAGAAAATCTTCAAAGCGCCCGTTTTCTCAGATTGGCAGACAGAATATCTTGAAAAAGAAGATAAGTAATTCCTATGAATGGGCAAACGCTCGTATTTAACACCTTTTGAAACATTTCAGGAACACGTCCATCGATCAATCAGTCCTAGTAGACTGTCTCACTACCTTCCATACAATTTATCGAATGGAACATTGGGGCAGATTTCTGCAGAAGCTGAGGATTACGTTCTCCCAGAGCAACTGGGTGGTGCTCAACCCGGGGAACGTTTGAATAAACTACTGTCAATCCTGATTTGGGGCCTATCACCAGTGCCACATTCCTGCATCAAAATTGCGCAACGTGGCGAGTTACTACTCTGTAGCAACTTTGGGAACCTATCAAAGGTTCCTCACACTCTCTAGCCAAATGAAGTAGGCCAGATAACGAGGCTGATAACCCACAGACTGAAGATTATCTCATCTGCAAGTCATCCGCATGCCACACGATAGATGGCTTGTCGAACAAGTGGATAGTTGGGGGTTAGTGTCATAAGAGGCCCATTGTGGATATTTCTCTCATACTCTGTATGAGCCATCTTTCCAAATCTGGCAACTTAAGACACCTACACGCAAGCATTCGCGTAGCCAGTTTCTTCGGCTATTTAACCCCATTGGGCGACGAATTCATTCTGCACAGTATGCACAGCTTTATGTAACATGCACAGAGAGTAGGGATGATTTCCTGGCCTATTGGCCTTTCACAGTAAGATTACACAGCCTACTTTCAAAGCGCTTAGGTTGCGCCGCCCACGCTTTTTGGCCCCTTATCCTTCAACGACGCGGCTATTTTCCCTGGCGGCACGCGCTTCAATGCACGCCTGACAGTATCTTACAATGTAAGAACTACTTTTGTGTTTTCAGCCAATAGCATCTCAGGCGCTTAGACACGGAAAGACCCGTCTTCGGTCTTCGGTATCTGGGTAATATTCTCGACGATTTAAGAAGATGCTGGTCCAACGACCGCCTTCCGTCATGGTTCAAAACTAATCACGTGATTTATGTTTCCTGTCCCCAATTCTGCAGACGACCACACCACTTCATTCATTTGCTAGCATTGAAACATGACAGCCAGCAATAAAAGAGTCCTCCTATAATCTCACACGCATATAAGCTGCAGGTTAGAGGCTCCTTAGGCAAAAGCCACGAGGGCTGGAGTTAGTATTGGGGGTTTCGCGTAGAATATAGAGCCACAAAAGAACCCCAAAAAAGAAGAACTTTACACAGGAACCTTTCCGGAATGAGATGATTTGACGGATCACCTATGCGTATGTGAAATATTTATCTGCAGGGCGGCAGCTCCGATGACTTTTCGAGATGTGCAGCTCAGCGCCATCAACAAAAGATGAATGCATCTGTCCAGATTCTTCTCGCCAACACAGGCCAAATTCTCAGGTTCCCGCGTAAATGCAGCAAGTGGTTGCTAGGGCTGTCTCATGTAAACTTTTCTTCCCCCATTTTCCTCCACTTCCCCCTCATCAAGTTGAGGCGTAGTGGGCGGATAATGGGCCTCCGAAATACACGACAAGCATGTGAGAGCTAGTCCAAGCAGTAAGAGTCGTATCGTGATTTCTATTACTGGCAGTTGTATTTCAATAATCACTACCTCTAGCCTGCAAGCGGGAATATCCGTTCTCATCATCTCGGCAAATTTGATACTAGCCTCAAGCACTTCAAGTCATGGCGAATGTTGGCTTGTATCGATTATCAATCTGGGTTATAATGACCATCATGCAATATCGTAACATTTTACTGATATTGATTAGAGACCTCGATTACCTTCGAGCACCACATATGCGTGGTAAGTGTTGTGTCATTAAGTCAACATCTTGTCATTTCAGTTCTTGGAAAAAACGGGTCTCCAATAGGATGATAATTCGGTCAACTTGCATTCAGAATCAGCTAATAATTGAAATGGAGATACGAAAGACGCAATGAAATCTCATGCAGAGAAACGGAATTTCCCTCCCAATCCTTACGGCAGCAATTCCTGAAACCGCGTCGGCCCCCGTTTCCTCGCTTGGGGTCGGACCACCCAATTTGCCAATCACCAATCAATGGTCAAGTTTTCAGCAACTCCTCCCTTCTTAACTTCTCGAGTCTCTCGGCAAGAGTAAGGCTATCTTTGGATGTCTCGTATAGCCCTGACGGTCATGGTCATGTCAGTGTTTGGTCCAGCTCTCACGCAGGTGAAGGAAATTGTAACACTTTTGGGAGGTATAAGAGGAATCTTATTAAGTGTGATAACAAGGCTTTACTTACAGCATTGAAGTTGCACGCCCCCAAAATGTGATTGTTTCTCGCATGGTGTATTGGTCTTGTGAGGTAAGTGGGAAGGCTGCATCGGAGAGCTGAACTCGAGGTAAGCAAACACTATCCGGTTTGTGAAGTGAAAGAGATCTTACGCGTCTTCTGTCGATTCCTTAGCTGTAGGTCCTTTCGAGAAGTGTTCGCTGGTGACTTAGCAAGTGTTGATAAGGTTGGTAATGAGATTCTGCCAAGTGAACTTTTAAGCGAGTTGTTGTGCTGGGTCTACTTTCTCTTTTGCTCCACTTCCTTATTTGATCCACTTATAGTTCTGCTGCCTAAATGCCTCATGTCTGCCTAAACCTTACACTCTTTATATAAACACCTTAGATAGCTACCTTTTACAATGCAATCAATTCTCCATGACCTTCAGTACCCAATACCCTTTCAACCCAATACGAGTGATCGGTGATAATAAGGGTTCACTCACTCATCGGCGCTTCCGTTCAGTGCAATATCGGAACAAGTACAGAAGGAGTGCTGAAGCGAGGGGCTTTTGGTGGGGGTGTTGCACACGGCATCGGACTCTTCGGGCATTTTGGGATGGAATATCCCTTTTTGTTGGCTGCGGCCTAGTCTGCAGGGGTTTAGGACTAGTTCTTTTCTTTCAAAAATACATCAGATCAACTCAGACAGTGACTTACACTTCATTCAAAACTAAAAGGATAGCAAGGCTCTGTCGCAGTATTTATAATTTTTGGAGTCGTCCATTCTCAATTAACACACTTGGGCTGAGAATTACACGACATGATGAATGGGGTTTTGGAGGCATGGGTGGGAATGCACTCCGCCATATCGATGTTGCTGCATGGGAATTTCTACCAGACATTGACATTTTACGATCTGCTAGGGTCCCAATCAGCATAACTCGATCGCCACCACAGCCCTCTTTCATACGAAAATCTCACCTGCAGACCGCCACGAGTAGCGGGAACATGCAGCAAGCTCATGCGTGGTTTTCCGAACCGAAGAAGTGGGGTTTTACCGACTGTTCGGCTTCTCGCTTGGGCTAATGATGGAGTCTTCGGGCCGTGTTTTATCGGGATTTGGGATTTCGGGAGTGCGATTCTCGGAAGCAGAGAAATCCGCCATGTCGAATTGCTCGTCGGTATGTTCTGTGACGATATTCCTTGCAGGAGTTTCTGCTAAGAATTATCGAAATTAATGAAATATTGCCAGAAAGAGAGGCCATGTTGCATTGATTCAAGACACGAGAGCTCTTTCTGATTTAGGGGGGAATAGAAGTTATATATTCTAAGGGTTGTAGGATAGCCTGCGTTCGAAATAGGTTGAGTTGAGTAGCGGACCGACTTAACTTAACTCGTACATTTTTCTCCTTCAACTCGCCAAGCAATCGAGTTGAGTTGAGTACTGATTGAGTAGTGTGGAGGAATCCGGACCGAGCCCTTGGATTAGATTTAGCCGGCCCACTTACATACACCAGCATACGACCACACGGTAAGCGAGGAAATAACGGAGCGCATGAGAGTCAGATATTTAGCAATAAGTGCTTCTAGCAAACGGTACTTGGCTAGAGGGCTAATGTTGTCCCACAACATAGGAATAGGCTCTTAAAAGAGAACCTTGAGGTATTGATAAGATTGCAAAGCAAGGGGCCTTTTGTAGACAAGGACAACTACAAGGAAATGCTATTAAAAGATGTCGCATTTAAGAACCGTTGTTTTGCACTTTACTATTCATTGCAAACTTTTCAAATAATACTCGAGTAGTCAAGTCCACTACTCATACTCAATTCAACTCAACCCCTGGGTAACTCTGAGTAATACTCGAATTGTAGAGTAATTTGTTCGAACGTTGAGGATAGCTTATATTTTAGCAAAATTCAGTTCACTCTGTCACTTCCGTGCAAATTGAGAAGAAATTTTATTCTTCATCCTATTTATTCGTTTCTATGATACAAAATAGCGAGTTTAACTTTCGTGGTTTGGCTATAAGTTATCATATCCTTGAATCAGGCGCCAATCATCCAGTATTTTCAGCCACCGGTACAGAATAATTTTGCTCGCTAGTTATCTCCTCAATGACAGCCTTCATGTTATACTCTTGCTCGGCCAATTTATCGTTGAAGTAAGCGACAAGATTATTGAACAACCTCCAGTGCTCGTCTTCCGAGAGGAACATGAGTCGAGCATCTCCCATCAGTAAGGCTTCCATTGGCAAACAGTCAAGTCTTCCTAAAATACATTTCATCAGGAGCATTTTTGCCTGTTCATATCTGCCGCTTTTTGTCGCTCTTTCCTCTGCCCATTCAGCAAAGTTTTTCCGTTTGGCATCTCTAATGACGACCTCGTTTTCTGCATAGGCTTTGAGATGTGCGGTCCACCTGGAGATTTCAGGGCTGCTTGTGTAAGTCCAACTCTCTGATTGTCCAATAACTGTCGCCATTCGATGTCACGTTCGGATTCCATTAGCGAAAGTTCGTATTTGATTCTTTCGAAAACGTCGTGCCTGAGTTGTACCTGAAGTTCTCGCTGGAAGACCTCTCGCTCGCGCGCTTCTTTTGAAATAGCAGCCAATTCCTCTTCAGTTTCGTGGATAGGCTCGCGAATCTTGTACAGACCAAGTGAATCAGGATCATCACTGAGCAGTTTCTTAAGGCAATATCTGTGTCTTGACATATTGTGCACCAACACATCCGATTCCAACTCGTCCCGGAGCTGGAAATCCATTGTGCTCACCACAAGATCGTTTGGGTGCTCGTGTTTGGTATGGGGTTGCTCGTACCAAGCGCTCGGCTCGAGACCAAGTCGCAGTTCGACGGCATTGCGACAGTAGGGGATCAAATCGCTTGTCATGTCGCCTAGATAGATCTCGTGCTTTTTATCTGAGTAAAGGTCCCTATAATCCTTGATTTGTCGTTCCGAGGGACGTGATTTGGTCGAAGGCTGGTTTTCATCGTCGTCGGACTCATAAAACTTCGCCTCTTCAATAAGGTTCGCTTCTTCTACCACTTCTCTCGCAAATTGTTTGGCCAAGGCATCTGGATATGCTTTCGCATATACCTCGTAACCACCGTTCCAAGGATCGGCTTGATACTTCTCATACCAGGTTTTCTCGCCGGCCTTGACTTCTTCGAATTCTTCTCTCAATCCAGTTTTTTGAGCTTCTTCTTCATACTTCTCGTACCAAGCCTTTTCATAGGCTGCTCTTGCCTTGGAGTTTTTTTCCTCGGTGTGACTCTCGGTTTCAGTAAAAGGTCCATCAAGAGCTGCAGTAGCTTGATTCGCCACAGCCATGGCAGCTGCTACGCGATCTGGGATATGGGCTTCTAAAAGTTCCTTTGGGGAAGACATGGTGAACGTAAGATTGACTCGTGAGATGAAATGATCGTTGTTTTGGGATTGTTGTACTATTGGTTGTGGTATTGAGTTATGTGGATTTTGACTATTGAAGTGGTTGAGAATAAAAGGTGGAGAAAGAAGGGACAAGCTGCTTTCTTATAAACGTTTGAGCGCTGTTGAAGCTAGAATTCTGTGAATACAAGGCTGTGAATACAAGGTTGTGAATCTCAAAAGTCCATCACCATATCCCAAAATATGTTGTACTACTTCATAAGTTTCTGAATCAGCTTCTAACTCTGTTTTGTACATCACCCAATTAAAGTTGTTGGTGTAAGCCTTTCCCTTACATATATACCGTGAATGTAAACCCAATTCACTCAACTACAAGGGAAGATCTGGTAACGGTAATTGCATCCCATCTTAGGAGAATCTATTGAACAGAATGGGTCATTTAGTAAATCAAAAAAAGCTACAAATATCAGGTGCCACCCACCTCACTCAGAAACTGATCCATTGGAACGGCGTACACGAGGTATTCGGGTATCGGACGTCTAATATGCGTATTAGGCGATACTTTAATTATTCAGATAATTCCGCGTATAAATACGCCGAATCGCTTTGATATTATATATACGTACAAGAATATACGTATAGTGGGGTACGAAATACAAAAAAGAACGGCATTCCCAGCTAATTTCGACCCACTTTTTTAAGTCTCCTAGCATCCTTTCGAGTATAACTACGCCCCCCTTTTTAACCCCTACCCCCTAACCTACTTTTCTACCCTATAATCTAGACAATAAATACAAAGGAGGGACTCGAATCCTTATACTCCTAAAGGATGTACTAGTTTACCTAATAAAAAGTTAGTTGTACTATGTCCCTAGCCCCTTAATTACTCCCTAGTCCCCCTCCCTTTACTTAGTAAGTTACTAAAAAGTCTAACCCCTAGGCCCCCGAGTACTAAAGAATAACCTTACAGCTATATTATATACGTATAGTATAGTTTCTGTACGTATTAAACATTCCTAGGCAAACCACACAACTTTTTCGAGGAAAACTTTTCTTCCAATTCCATCAATCCCGCTCAACCAAACGATAGCAGCTAGAATTTCAACCACT